GGGGGGAATTAAGCTATTTAAAAGAGAAGATGAGCCCTGGCTGGTGTGGCTCAGTTGGTAGAGCATCATCCCAGGTTCAATTCACTGCCAGGCCACAAACCTAGGCTGCGGGTTCAGTCCCCAGTCAGGGTGCGTACAAGAGGCAACTGATCAGTTTCTCTCTCTCTCACCCTCTCCATTCCTCTTGCCCTAAAAAATAAAAAAAAATTATATATATATATAATAAAAAACAAATAAATGGAAGAGAAGATGGGAGAGGAGGCATTGGTGGAGAGGAGAGGGCAGGCCTTTCATCTGGTGCCAAGGGTTTTAGACAAGCAGAGGCGGCGGAGGCCAATGATGTCAGCACAACCAGCAAGATTCTTCTATTCAACCTGTGGTGAAACAGTCTGTTTTGACTATTTGTCATAAGCCCTGAATAAACCTCAGGCCTTTTCTCTATTCTCACACCTTCCCCATGTCCAGTGAGAAATATGGGGGTGGGAACAGCACAAGCCTGCTGCTGACACTACTGCAGAATTTCCGTTACTATGCCTCTCGTCCCATCCGCTCCTGCCCTCCTGACCCACCAGGCATCCCCACTGTCTTCTCCACCTCACCGCACCCCATACTGTGTTCAGTCCTGGGAGGTGGTTCACTAATAACCCAACCTGAAGCCTCGGCAAGAGGGTTAAAGATTTTATTCTTGTGTTTGAAGTTTGGGATGTTTAGAAAAAACTAAATTCACCAGATACTTAGTCAGTTTCCTCTATGTGCCAGCACTTCACTAGAAATTCAGGTGGGACTGGGAGCTTGAAATGAGACTAGAACTTGTCCTTGAAAAACTAACAACCTTAGAGTGCAGTGGAGATGGACTCACTTGGTGCAAAGGCCATGCCCTGCTCTCCAGTCATCTTTCTCAAGCCCACTGTGTTCACTCAAGCTTCCGGTTTCTGCACATGCCACTCTCTTCCCATTCTGGTGAATTCTTACTCAGAGGTCAATGTCTCTGCAGAAATTCCCCAGCCCCGGCACTGAACATTGGCTCCCTCCTCTGAGTTCCTGAAGCACTTTGCATTCTTCCATTACAGCACTTTATCTGTTGTTATAATGGTTTATCTCCTCAAGTACATGGGACAAACCTTACTTACGTTTTCCCCAGTGCCAACAATAGTGCCTGGCATCTAAGAGCGCTTTGACAAAGGACTCTCCTGTCTGAACACTGTCCCCATCCTTTCATCCCTCCACTCCTCCGTTGGCAAACTCATCTTTCAGGTCCCAGGATAAAGACCCTTCCTCAGACAGGGCTTCCTTGATAACCAAGCTCAACTAGTTCCCTTCAGTTCTGCTTACACGCCTTGTCCTTTCCCATTCATAGCACTAATCACAATTAGAAATCCTATGAATGTCTCCTCCAGGAGATTGCAAGTTCCACATCTTTGGGGTACCACTAAGTATCCAGTTTCCAAATACTCAATGAAAAAAATATATACACATCAGGCATTCTGAAAGACAATTTACCTTCCCAATTACTATCCTCATGCTACACATGCCTGAAGTTCCACAGGAAATGGCAGAGCCAGGATTGGAGCCAAGGTGCCTTCACTCCAAACAC